AGTATGTGTTTTGCTGGAATGTAGAAGCAAGAAGACCCACATTCTTGTCTTAACCTTTTCCTTTTTTGTCTTAACCTTTTTCCTTTTAATGAGGGCAAATCCTCTAACATCTTTAGACTTCAGGTTCCTCACTTTGGAAGTATATCTGCCCTGCCTAACAAGGCTATTTTTATGATCAAAAGGAATGATTTTGATCAGAAGGTATGATGTAGGTTTCTATAATACTTGATAGTTTTCAAATATAAGATTGTGCGGAATCATTTGTTTCAGAAAAGTGCTTGCTTGCCCTTCAGATCTTTGCTCTTTGAATAAAGAAAATTCTTGAACATTGACATCCGACCACATTACCCCAGGGTGTAAGGATGTAAGGTTGTATTTTTTCCATGCATCCCCCATCCTTTTTTAAAGTTAAGCGTATTATGTTCCCTAAAAAGCCTTGCTGTGCTTGTAACAATATTGTACTGCACCACATCTAAGATGCTCTTCATTATAAGATCATCTGGGCTCTAATTTAAAGATGCACTAAAAAGCAGAAAACACTGCCAAACTGACACATTCATAAGATGCATCTCTAGTTCGTTCATTTAACAGAGACGTTAAAATGAGGAGAAAGTGTTTCACAGACTCAATGAAGTATGCAGGAATCTTAGTCTACTGTTTAGTAATCTTTGTGGATTGCATAATGCTTGTTCTTTTATTTCTTACTCTAATTTTTCTTTTTAATGGGGAAAAGGGGAAAGATGTCGCTTTTAGAAGGTAGGTGGCAATTTTTTGGCTTGTTTGAAAGAGAAATTTATCTTGAGGAAAGCCTTGGACTTGCCAAGAATTCAAGATTAGTTCTCAAGGTGCAGCTCACAAGCACCACACTTGTTAGAAATGCATATTATCTGAGATGAGAGCCTTCCAGACCATTCCGACCCATACCCTGGAGCCTCAGAACCACTGACCTAAGAACTGCTGTCTAGTTGTTTGCTTCTTAGAGTGATGTACAAAGTGAGAAGAGACCGAATCAGCTCTAAATAGCATTTTCCTAGGGATCTTGATGGTATTTAGCCTGTGTAAATGCTTTTCTGGGCGTATCTGTGCTACACTTAGCATGTTTTCTCTTCTTCACAATTCAGTCTTTGTAGAACTGTTTTCTTGCCAAAATTCAAAGAAAATATTTTGCTGGCCAAAATCCTTGTTTTCATAGATCATCAGTTGGCTCAGAGCCAAGTTTTCGCAACACAGTCTAGATGAATTTTCCTTCAACTTTTAAAATGTCTTGAATTGGTTGAAAAAAAATTAGAATCTACCTTTATGCTGTCTCTCTCATTTCAGGTTTTTCCCGTCATAAAAATACCTGATTTTGGTGGCGTTTTCTTTTTTGTAAATATGTAGTCTGCTAAGTTATTATGCTGAATAAGGGCTAAAAAAGAAAGGTCTTTGGTTATTGTATGCATGTTTAAAGTTTTTGACAGTTCAGAATTAGGTGACTATAACAACACTTGAAACAATAAGTCTTCAAGATGATAAGATAACATTTAATGAAACTTCTGTTTTTTAATAGCAAATATTGACTTTATTCAAGAATCTGGGAGAAAATTGGTGTTAGTCATCTTGGAAAGAAGGGACATTTTAGAAACTGCCTTGGAAACTGAACTGAAATTGTTTCCTAGACAGTAGTTCCTTTTAATTTTGGTGTGTAAGGAATTCAGTAGCAACAGTAAATAATCCTTTTTCTCCCATCTTAACCTTTTAGGAGGAAGTTAACGTCCCCAATAGGCGGGTTCTGGTTACTGGTGCCACTGGGCTTCTTGGCAGAGCTGTGTACAAAGAATTTCAGCAGAATAATTGGCATGCCTTTGGCTGTGGTTTTCGAAGAGCAAGACCAAAGTTTGAACAGGTTAATCTATTGGATTCTGATGCAGTTCATCACGTCATTTATGATTTTCAGGTATGGTTTAGTCTGTTTTAACACATGTAAACTGTGTTAAGAATTGTCTGGAAGATACAGAAAGCGTTGCTCTCAAGGAACTTACTGTACTTACGCTCTAACCTATTAAGCAAAAATAGCCAATGCACCTTTTTTTTTTTTTAGCATGGTAGAGTATATGGAATCCTTAAGATTAGGTTGAGACATGTTGACAAAAGACAGAAATATGAAGCTTTTTATAAAAAGCTTATGAAGCACTCTTCAAAATACCACTTCTATGCAACTGTCCTTTTAATATTACCTGTAAACCTTACTACACTGCAAAATAGATAACATCATATTCATTTTAGAGATGACAAGACTTGGCTCTACATTTTAAGAAGCGCCCAGACTGTGCACATTCAAGTTTGTAAACAACTCAGATCATGCTTCCTCAAGTAGTTGGTTGTTGGGGAGGAAGTTGGGTATGTGGGTGCGTAGCCCTGCCTTTCTGTGGTCTTCCCGGATCTCAGCGCCGGCTCAGCTCTTCTGGAAAGTAGGTGCCCCTTCTCTACAGAGGACCCTCTGCGCTCCTCTATCCTGACGTCTGTCCAGTATATTCAAAAAGTCTCTTTACATAGCTGTCTTTTTCCACTTGATTATGAAATCCTTGCTTTTTGCACAGTGCTTTGCATATGGGATGCCTACAAAATGCTCAACTGGGAATATAATTTTTATAGATAGCTGATTTTCTTTCAATTTGAATTGATGAATTTGATTTGCAATTGATATTCCTTTTCCTTTAACATAGATTTCTTAATATGTAGGTCTTATTATTAGAATCACACAAGTGATAGCTCGTCTCTCCCATCCAAATGAGGGGATGAAGCTTATTTTGATTTAGAGCTAGAGCTGTTGTCTGGTTTTGCCTAGCGATTACTCAATTGCTCTTTCCTTTCCAAAGCCTTAGGTGTATTTTTAAAGGAAGTTAACCTTGAAAAAGGGAAGCATGAGAAAACTACATCAAAAATTACAATGATTGATTCTTTAGTTGAAGGAATGGTGACTTAACATTTTTCTATGAATTAATTTACTCTTGGAAGGCTTCAGTTCCTGTTTTATTCCTTTTTGGGTTAAAAATCAATACTTAACTTCCAGCCCCATGTCATAGTACATTGTGCAGCAGAGAGAAGGCCAGATGTTGTAGAAAATCATCCAGATGCTGCGGCTCAACTTAATGTGGACGCTTCTGGGAATTTAGCAAAGGAAGCAGGTAATGATGACTGTATAAAATCCTTATGAAATATTAAATGACCTCTGAGTTTGTAAATATTAAAGTTTTGTGGACTGCTCCTAAGACAATGTTTTTAGATGTGATGAATAAGCCATTGTATCAGTTCCAGTGAAGAGTAATGCCATATGCTAATTTAATAGATTCTTTTCTGTCTTTTTTGTAGCTGCAATTGGAGCCTTTCTAATCTATATTAGCTCAGATTATGTATTTGATGGAACAAATCCTCCTTATAGAGAGGAAGACATACCAAGTCCCCTAAATCTGTATGGCAAAACAAAATTAGAAGGAGAAAAGGCTGTCCTGGAAAACAACTTAGGTAAGACACAGCAATCTCTTCAGCTCCTGATTGTTCTTGAAGATTCCTTTTTGTTTATATTTTTGTATGCATATATACATATATATGTACATAGGGTGCCCAGAAAATTACACACATTGTAAAAAAGGGAAAACTATTAAAATTGTAATACTCCATATATACCGATAACAAATGATGAATACAACTCAGGTTTGACTTCTGCAGGTACAGGAGCTGCTCAAAGTAGTTCCCATCGGTGTCCAGACACTTCTGATTACGGCAAACTACTGCTTGAGCAACATTGACCAAAGTGTCCACTTGTATACATTATTTTGGCACCCTGGTTGTGTGTCTGTGTGTCTCTGTGTGTGTGTGTGTGAGAGACTAATTAAAAAATTAGTCAAGGGCCGGCCAAGTGTCGCATTGGTTAAGAGTTGGCTTGGGACGCCAGCTCTGAGCATCAGGGCCCTGGTTTGGATCCCATATTGAGGGCCAGTGACACTTGCCCTCTACAGCTAAGATGGTGAACAACAGCTCCAACTGGAGCTGGGCTGCAGTGAGTCGCTGGCGACGGCATAGGCTGCAGTGGGCTACCATGAGTGGCTGTCAGCCAGCATGAGCAGCTGTTCAATGGTCAGCAAGCGACTTCCTCACCCGGAAAGAGTGCAATGATAATACCAACATGGGCCAGTGAAGCAATGTCCTGCACAACTAGACTGAAGAACAAAAGGCCAGCAACTTGTCTGTTCCCCTTCCCCAATTCCCCAACGCTGTTCCCCTCCCCCAACTCCCCACTAAAATCTTAAAAAAAAAAAAAATAGTCAAGGATCACAAATCATGGGAGAAAAATTAGAGAACGTAGTTAATAAAGAAAAAAAGAATTTTAGAAATCTTGAGGAATTTATGAGTCCAAAACTTTTTTCCAATAAATATCATANCGAGATTGCTTTGGCTCCATTTTACAGAGGAGAAAATGGAGGCTTGGAGGGTAAGCCCTTGGCCCAAGTGCATTCAGCAGTGTTGAGAGCTGGGATTCAAATGTAGGCCTCTCTTTCTGGGGCTTTGACCTTCCGTGGAGTTTGCCTAAAGCAAGGCCACTGTGTTTGGGGCAGCCTCGCCCTCCTCTGTTGTAGTCCCGCCCTCCCAGCGCTCACCCAATCGGCAGAGTCTGTTGTCGGGGGTTAAAAGCAATGAAGACATGTCCTCCCACCATCTGTATTTTTCTAGCTGGGCTAATAACCAGATTAACAGACGGATTAATGGGAAAGGCAAATATTCAGTACATACGGGGAATTCACATAAGCACGATACTTTCAAAGGCAGCGAGGCAACGCTGGACATTTTGGACAAAGGAGAGATGGGGTGCGGTGGGGTTGTAGCGTCCAGAAGTGAAGAGGAGTGCTTTACAGGGAGTTGAGGAACAGCGGAACGCACGTGGCAGAAGAATTGCTGGGCAACTCAGAAGTCGAGGGACGTGGGGTATCTAGCTAACAGGCGCGGCGTCTTCCTGACTAATTCTAGGTTGAACATTCTTAAGGTAACTAAGCCAAGGCGCCCTCCCTAGAGTAGGCTTTTCTGGCTGAACCTCTTGGGCAGGAAAGTGGCGGAGGCTCAGAGGTTCCCTGAGTCTTGTTTCTTAAACAGCTGGAAATCCATATCCTCAAAAGCAGCTCCAGGGTAGCAAAATTTTGGTTCCCTTTTAATGTCTAGCATTGGGGATAAGGAGGTTGGTACTATGTCTTGTGGATATATAGGAGGTGGCAGCTTTTGGTAACGCAAAATTTTACACCTCCAAAATGGAAAGCATCCCATGATTTCAAATCACTGGGATTTTGGGGGTAAAGCTAGACTAGATTGGCTACTTAAAACCTCTGTATCGTTCCTATGTGCCCCAGATAGTGCTGAGTACATGTTACCTATTAGCTTACATGTATACGTACATATCGATACACGTAAATGTATGTGTGTATATAAAACTCAAGCTTCACAGTAGGAGCTCAGGAGTCTACTGAAGACGGGTTTTCCTTTATTGCAAATGGTACAACCAAGAAGCTTGGGATGTATTTGCTTCTCTCAAAACCTGTAGAATTAAAACTCACTGGTGAGAATGAGGACTGTCTTATGGTTATGTTAAGAGAAGCAGAGTAGTGGTTTTTTAAAAATAATACTGGCTGGGGCGTACAATAGGGTGACAGTAGGAGTTAGACCAGTGTCACTCACCTGAGCAGTCATGGGATCTTAAAAAGGCTTTTTAAAGTCCAGGAATGTCTACTCAAAGTTATCTGCCTTCATAGGAATGTTGTGAGGATCAGTTAAAGAAGTGAATAGGAAACTTCGCTAAATTTAAGACATCGTAAAAATAGCAAAGTATTCTTATATTTACCACTAATGTTTATGAAGATCTGTAGATATTTGTGATGTTTCACCATACATTTTCTAGGACATTTTTAATGCAAGTGCGCTGACTTAGAAATCCCAGAGTATTGTTTTGGGTCCTTCTGCAAGCGTTATCTTTCATTACCTATACAGTTTATTTAAGTAGATTAGCATTACATTTGTTTAATTTTTTTAAGAATTTTTCTTGGTGTCTATAAATCTGGTCACCTGAAGTTACTGAACTCTGTACATCTAAAGAGTTTATACAATAAGAGGCAAATATGTTAAGAGTAACTTAAAGGGATGTTTGATAGAATTTACTTACAAGATAATAAAAATTGAGAAAGTAGACTTCTCAGGCATACAGACTATTTTCAACTCTATTGTGGTTTGGGTTAACTAGACAGCTTTTTTGTCTTCCATTCTGAGCTCCTTGGGTGTTGGGACATTCCTCAGTTTTGCAGGATTAAATTTATAGAGTAACAGTCCAAAGTAATTTTCAGAGGAATATTTCTTTTAAAAAGAAAAAAATCAAAACAGTATACTTTAAAAAGCTTTAGGTGAGTTTCTGTTTGTATGTAGAAACTCAGAAATAGAGGAGTTACTTTTGTGTGGCATCTTGTAATTTCAGAGTGATACGTAGTTT